AATGTTAAAGTCGGTCGGAGCAATGGGAAGGGATGTGTTTCTATGGGAAAAAGCGCGCGTAAACTCGTTAGCTGATTTGTATTTAAATATAAAAAGCCGATTCTGCAGTAGACGAATAGAACCACATGTAGGGCTGACAGCAAGCAGTTTTTGTCGCCCAATTAACGATGAATTAGGTTCACAATTACGACGTGGTTCATGTTTTCGGAGCCCGATGATACAGTCCGTGAGCTATGTACCACTCTGTGGATTTCCTGATAATTGCCGAAATTGCATATTTCCGAGTGCGTCTGGTGCCACAAATAATACAGTGTATTTTCCCACCGCGAGAACAACGTACCACCCCAACCCTCGCAAATCTCCAGGAAGAGGAGGCGGTCATGGACAGAAGGGCAAAAGCGTAGTCGAAAAGGGAGTTTAGGAGCTGCCGCCTCAGCACCGGCTGCAGCACCCGTAGCGTTGCGTGCTATCGCCCCGCAGCCTCCGCCTCTAACTCAGGTTCCTATCCCAAACCAGGCTTGGCCGTGTTGGCCGGGACAATGGCCCTACGGCTATGGCACCCAGTAGTGATGCGATAATTGGCAAGTGCCTTCGGGGAGCAGCAAATGCTCCCTGGGAGCAGCATACATGAAACATTTTCCATGATGACGCTCCTCAAGTATCTTCTAGCCTGCCTTCATTCACCTCGGGAGGACCCCTTCCAGACTCACCACTCCTTCTCCCGAATGGAATCCAGCCTCTCCTTCGCCATCCATAACCACGTGTAAGGTATCCTCGTCCTCCATCTCTGCCTCGAGGCGAGCTACGCCAACTGACTTCTCCATTGACCCGTCCTTGGCGCCCCAGACAGGAACTGATGCGCGATGCTTGAGGATGGTGGGAGATGGTGCGGTACCACACCATCTCATCTCACCACGCCCCACTCCGCGTCACGTGACGCGGAGTGGGGCGTGGTGAGGGATAGATGGGATTGGTGGGGTGGGTGTGTGGTGTGGGATGGTGCGGTGGCGCGGGGTGGGCGCGCGGTGAGGGACGGCGAGGATGGTGTAGATGTGGCGGGGGGGGCGTGATGGAAGATGGGGGGCTGGTGCGATGGCGCAATGGTGCGAGGTGGGGCCGTGTGCGGGCGTGGTTGGTGATGCGGG